TAAAAGAAGCATTAGTTATGTTGCAGTGCCTCATAGCTATATTAAGACAATTCCTTATGAAAATGGCTTTGCAGGATCCAACAGGGACAGGAAAAAAATATTTGTTTTGCTGAATAAGGTGGAAATCCACTGCTTGGGCAGTGCCTCAAATCCCCAAATGTGTCCATGAATTCAAAAGGTTGTCCCTGCGTCTATGTGCTGCTTTCCTCCTCAGACCCCCATGTGCTTCCAGACTCTGTGTCTGCCGTGTATTTCCAGAGCCAGCATCCAGGGTGGGGATGGTCAGAATCCACACCCGTGGCCTTGCTCTTTCCTTTTCAAATTTGGGGGAAGGGGGCAAGAGAAGCTGGTGGTAAGACGGCCGGCTCATGGAGGGCATCTTGCTGTACAGAACATGGATCTGGCACTGCCTGAAAACTCTCGGATTTCCTCCCAATTTGGTTTGCAACGCATTGTCACGCTCTGTTGCTGCTTAGCTCGCTTTGGTTCCAGCCATTGTGGTGCCTGCAAGGGACTCTGACCATGATTGGAAACGCGACTGTCTTACTTTACATGAGATATCGGGCTAACTGTCAGGCCCAGGTTTCCTGCACAGAGAAGACCCAGAGAAGTGGGAGACATTCTGGCAACAGTGGCCTCTCTCCCTTGCCAGCTCTTTGCCTCTCTTCCCATCCCCTCCTGCCAGCCAATCTCTTCCACACTCCGCTGTCCCCCAACTCTTTCCCCCGATGTAAAACAAAACTGCAGTTCGGGCAGAATTCAGCCCCCGCAGCATCTGAACTGCCTTTGAATGCCAGTAGATCTAAACCCGCCTTTGATGCATTCTCTCTTGCTCCTTTATCACTATTTGGTTCAATAAGCAGGAGTCAAGATCAAGACTCTGAAGAGAAGGCGATCCTCCCTTTTTGTTTCATACTAATTTTTTTAGAGGAGAAATGGGGGAGGATAGAAGAATCACATGTGTGTTTCAAGGGCAGCGGCACTGACTTTGAGACTAGTTTTTTCTTTGACTGGGAAGGGGAGCCTGCCCGCAGCTCAGTAGGGAAGGACCAACCTCTCACCTGGAAGGTGGCAGATTCAGTCTTTCGCATCTCCAGGTAGGGCTGGAGAAACCTCTTTCTAAAACCCTGGATTGCTGGGTTCAGACAACACAGGAACCCACACTCAAAGGCTTTGGGTTTGTTAACCGAAACAAGCTGTGAAGATAACCCATGGCTTGTGGTTGGGTTGTGAACAGTCAACCCATACTGCACCCTGGAGTGTGGGTTATCACGTTCTTCCTGTCGCCTGGGATAGTCAACCCATTAAGCTGAGGGTGTATTTGGCAATTTGAGGATCTTTCCCGAGCAACACCCAGAACTGGCTGCCCTGGGGGTGAGGCGGAGGACCAGTTGACTGCCCCAGAGGCTGCATCAGGGTCAGAGGCCGTGTCTGAGCTCCAGGATAGTGAACTGAGTTTGCGCCATCAACAGAAGCCCATTTTGCAACAGTCCCAGCTTTTCTTTCAAGAAAAAAGAAGAAAAAGAGGGAGAGGGCTCTCTGGGGGGCACCAGGGAAGTTCTCTAGGGACAGACTGATGCCCAAGGGCACCTTGTGGCCACCGCAATCCTAGGCTGGCCCACCTGGGGGACCGTCCTGCATTCCTCAGGGCCACAAAGTGAGAGCAGGGGGAGGCTTTGGCGGGGGACGGCCTGTGGGGCAGACCTTGTCCTCAGACCCTGCTCTTCGGGCACGGCCCCAATTCTGCTGGCTTCCCACCAGCACTCAGATGCTGTGCTGAGGCAGCAGCTCCCTGTGTGAGCAACTCCCCCAGCCGAGCATCTCCTGCAGAGCACTGTCCGAGGGGCAGCCCATGTTCCGCCTGGACCTGACCCCACTGTACCGAATGCAGCTTGGTCTACTGGGTGTGACCCTTGCCGGACCCGGCAACTTCACTGTATCAGAGCGCCCGCCAGCGCGCAGGTGCTTAGCTGCTTCTCCTGCAGGTAGACCTAGCCAGGATGGTGGCATTGGGGGGGGGGGGGTGTGCCGCATGGATCTCTGGTCCAATTCAGCAAAACTCCTCTTAAACTCTTGCAATAAATTATATCGGCAGTAATAATTCCTCCATCGTTGAAATGCTCTTGAAATCCTCCGCGGATCAAAGAATTTTCATTCCGGTTCCCCACACACTCATGGATGAAAGAGCTCTGTGTCTCCTGGCACTCGCTCTCATTTGGAAGGAGGCAGCCATGTTCAAGGCGGGCTCATGCTGGGAATCACGGATGGAAGAAATCAGGATAAACCTTTTGCATGCTCGGAGTGCTCCTGGGATTCACCTCTCCCTACTGTCCTCCTCCAGCTTTACTCCCGCACAAGAGTAAAGCATGTGCCAGCTATGGAGCGAGGAGGTGTGTGGTGACGTTCTTGGACAGGTTGTGGTATCTGCCAGGACTATCTCGGGCTGCAAGGCAGCTGCTGCCATTCCAACGTCGGAGCCCAGGAAGCAGAGCACAATAGTGTTGGGCTCCGCTGGAATCTTGTGTGGCATTTCCTGTTTCGCCCATTGTTTAGTGATATGTAATTCACCGTTGCCAAATGGCCCCTGGCTTGCATGCCTTTAAAAGGCAATTAGATGAACTCATCCAGGAGGAGGGAGAGAGGTCTAAAAATACTGTTTGCGAGACTAGATGGATGGAGCCTCCATGTCGAGAGGCATCCTACCTCTGAGTCACAGCTTCTGGGGATGAGCGGGGGGGGCCTGTTTCCTCCCTGTTTGCTCCTTGGCCCACTGCAAGGCCTGTGGGGAAGAGGCGGCTGAACGAGATGGGCTTGGAGCCATCTTCTTAGGCGCTTGAGATGGGAACGTTCAGCAGAATCTCCTGTCAGAGACCTTTTTGTCCTGTGTATTCAGAAGTAGGAACCTGGGCATCAATATTCTGTAGCTTGCAAAAATATTACTGATATAGTGCAAGCTTTTCCCAACCTGACACACTCCAGATGTGTTGGACTGCAAGCAGGTGCGCCAGGTTGGAGAAGGGGTGCCATTTCGTCAGTGCCATTGATGTATACATGATTACACACACGTATGTACATATATGTGCTTGCAGATGGATGTGCATCCATCCATTAATGATGCTTTCCCTGCTTCAACTTGGTCTCTCTGAGCCACGTCTAGTTTTCTTAATTTATAATGCTTCTGCTGCATGTACAGGATCTGAAAGAATGGGGTCGCACTTATAGGTTCAGGGACGAATGGCCGGGCTAGGAGCTTTCTCCCTGCGGTGCTGCTTTTCTACGTGCAGGCCTCGTATTTCATTATTCGCCTGCTTCTGCATGCAGAGAGGGAGCACTCCAAAATTCTCCCTGCCCTCGCAGTCTTTCCCTCCCACCCCAGCCTGAATTAATGATGCTTCCACTTGATTTTGCCGCATGGGTAGAGCAGGGCTGGGAAAGTCTGCAAGGAGGGGCGAGAAGAGCCAGGCAGGCATGAGCTGGGCTGAGGAGAAGAGGGAGGCGGTCCTGCGGTTCACGCCGACTTGCCAGCCCCCGTGTCTAGGAACGTTTGCCCTTCATTTGCTGCAGCCGGTCAGTGATGGTGACTTTCTTTTGGCTGTCCAGGTCTCTTTGAGCTCATGCATCATTCAGTTTTTTAAAGTGTTCGTGAAACAACAGCTCTCTCTCTCTCTCTCTCTCGCGTTCTCTCTCTCTCTCTCTCTCTCTCTCTCTCTCTCTCTCTCTCTCTCAAACAACCAATTCATTCTCCTACCCCCATCCCAAAAATAACCCTACTGGTCTGGGATATTTTAAGCCATCTTAATCCAACCCCAGGCCTGTGGCACGGGAAGCCGGATGGGTTGCCAGCTGCATTGCATCATTGCCTGGCAGGCCTCCTCCTGCAGGCCTCTGCGGTCACTTGGGGAGGTCCCCCCCCCCCCAGCCCCCCCCCCAGCGGTGTGTGGCTCTTTCCCAGTCATATCGCGTGGCGCTTCGGCCCTTGTCTCTGCAGCGGGTGAACGCATCCCTTGGCTCCGTGAAGGCAGCCACCCCCGGGCAAGAAGGTTGCTGCCCCGCACCGCCCGGCTCGCCCACACGCCCTCGACAGACGGTCGGTCGCTGCCGGGCGGCTGCAGAACACATAATGCCGATTCCCGGGAAGCCCGGGAATACCACTCCCCCGCGCCCGTCCTTGTCTGGATCCCGTTTCTGCGCCCCCTCGCTCCCAGGGACGTGCTGTACCCACGCTCAGACCTTCGGCAGCTGGGCCGAGAGAGATGCGCTCGGAACTCCAGGCACCTGCTCCGGAGTCTCGCTTTTAACCTGCCAGAGAAGGGCTGGTGGGCAGCCACTCGGGTCTCTAGCGAGCCGCACATCCCGACGGGCGAGGCCCGGGGGCGGGTTGGAGCAGGAGGGGGCGGGGCGCCCTCCATGAGGCAGATGGGTCTGAATGGCCCACCGCAGGCCAAGTCGCCCTGAAAAGCTTTGCCTTGCTGGCGAAATCCGAGGTGTTGCTGGCAAAACCCCTTCCTTCCTGCCCCAGCCGCAACGGCACCGGGCAGCCCTCTGAGTGGGATGGTGTGACGTGGTGTCCTGCAACAGCAGGGGGTTGGACTTGATGGCCTTCATGGCCCCATCTAACTCTTCTATTCTATGATGCTAGGATTGCAGCTAAACTCAGAGGGACTGAGGACCCCTGCACGGCGGGGGGGGGGGCAGCATAGGGTGCCCCCTGTGTCCGAGAAACAGGCCTTCCCGACCTGTGCCTGTTCCCTCCAGTCCATCGGGGCAGAAGCAGGGGGCCTGCTGGCGCTGGCGCTGGCGCTGGGGGCACGTGGCCAGCAAAGGCTGTTCTGCACGTCCCGCTCGCCCGCTTCCCGCTGGCATCTCCCCGGCGACTCCAGGGCCCCGAGCGCTTCTCGCCTTTGGGAGGTATGCTGTTGACCTGCTTTCCTGCATCGCTGTTCTAATACCTTGTTTTCTCCTTTTCCTTTGCACCCCGACCCCCTTTCTGCTTTCAAAAGAACGCAGGAGGCTCCTTGCCGGTAAGTGGTGGCGTGTCCCCAGACTCAGCCCCTCTGTGTGTCTGTCTGTCTGTCTGTGCCGTCTGTGCCGTCTGTCTGTCTGTCTGTCATCCACCCGCCTGTGCATTAACCTGCAACACTGAAACAGGGAGAGGCATTTCTGCTCCTGTTAGATCGGTCTTGAAGATGGCCGTCAGCCCCGTTGATCATTCATAGCACAGCCTAGTCGGGGAAGAAGCTTCCCTCTGTTTTCCTTGTTGCTTACACCCGAGTAGCATCGTGCAGGGGCTGAGCGCTTGGACTGAGCCCTGAGAGGCTGTCCGTTCAGACAATGCTGTCTGCAGTGCTCATCATCAATTCCCTAGGCAGCCTCGGACCAACGATGGCACCTTTCAGTGCAAGACTTCTCCTGAAGTTTGCCAAGGCAGTACTCCTGGCCTACCTTACAGGGCTGTTTTGTCAGAGGAGTGAAGAGCGCTATGGTCAATGGGCCTGTGCTGCCATAGAAGGATCTTCATGAGCTGCCCATCCAGGACTGGGGCTGGAATCCTGTACCCAATGAACTTAAGCAGAACTGGCTCTTGAGTAGACATTTGCAAGATGGGCCTGCTGGCCAGCCAATCTGTTAATTCATTGGCGTGTAGGCACAGATGCGGAACTTGGTTTTAAGTGAGATGCAAATTTTCCTGCTCTCAGACGCAGCCTAGGTATTGCCTCTGTGAAGAGGGGGCTTGCCATCGGCAGTGGGGGGCTGGGGGGAGCCCCCTGTATTGGACTAAAGTCTCACGGGGGCACGGTGTGAGTTGCAGGCCAACACATGTCTACTGGGAAGTCTGTTTCATGGAGTTTGCATCCGGGAACACGTCTGAAGCCAAAGCACTGCAAGCTGAATCTGAATGAGCTAGCTTGCCTATAAGTGGTGTCGCTCATATTTTTGTTCCTTTCATTTGTGTAAAGAGCGTCTGATCTCTTTCTCTTTTAAGTGGAAAGCACTACTAAAAAATCCTGAAAGAATACTTAAAAACAAAAACCAAAACCTGGAGCAGCAAAGAAAAAGTTTCACCTCTCTCCTTTTTCCTTTGCCTGCTCTGAGGACAGTATGGAATTCCTTAGTAAAATAACAACCCCCATTTCATTCATAATGGAAATCGTTCCTTTGCCCTTCATGCTGGCACCCTGGGTGAGCCATTTCTCCCAGCCTGTTCCATGGTAGGCACACACACACACACACAGAGGCAAAACATTGTGGTGTTTTCTGCCTAGGCCCCCCCTTGTGGTGTGCAGGTATGTGTCTGTGTTGTGTTCACTCTTCAAAGGCATGCTCATTTCACCCCCCTTCCCTCGTCCCATAAGCACATGAAGTGCAGAAGGGGAGTTTCTGTTGGGAAGTCACAGGGCAAGTCCCCTCTGTGGGTTCTGTGAATTTTACTCTTCTTTGAGAACTGCCTCAGAGAAGGACTTTTATGCGAATTTCCTCTTGGACTGGGGGCCCCACAGAGGAACAACTGAAGCCCAGCCCTACTAAACTTTATTTATTTATTTTATTAAAACATTTTTATGCCGCCCCATTTGCCGAAGCCTCGGGGTGGCTTACAACAATAAGTTAAAATAATTATAATATAAATCAAGAATATAAACATTAAATTAAAAATACAACTTCCGCATGGGGTCCACAGCTTAAGCCTTTATACCAGGGCTGGGCAACTTGTGTCTTTCCAGGTATTTTTGCCCATAACCTTCTGTTACTTCACACCATCATTCCAACTTCCCCAACCTCCAGCTAGGTTAAACTACAATTCCCATTAGTGGCCATGCTATCTTGGGAGTTGTAGTCTAACACAGAACACATCCCAGAAATATCCCAATTGTTCCTTACTTTTGGAATAAGATGAATTAAGAGTCTGAGATTTCACTACCGTAATGTTTTCAAGATTACCTTGGCACCCATAAGGGCTAGAAACTTGACTTTCGTTATTAAAAGAAAAAAAGATGCCCAGAGGGTAGGGAAACCGCTTCCTTGCCAGGCTGCATGCCAGAACAAGCCAGAAAGTGAGGCAGACAAATGATGTCTCTCCGCCTCCCTCTTCACCCACCTTCTGCCATTCCTTTCTCTCTCCTAGCTTCCCTCTTTACCTACCAGGTGTTGATGGAGGAGCAGATCACTACTGCCAGAACCCATTTCTTGCGGGGGGCTTTGGAAATCGACCGAGGGGACAGGCCAAGAGGGCCGACTCTCCCCGTCCTAAACAAAAGCTGTGATTCCTCAGGGGTCCCGTGCTCCCCGCTGGACCTCCCCCTGCCTTTGCTGGGAACTTTCGGGCGGTCAGTCTCTCCCCCCAACCCCACCCCTCCTCCAGCTCTCCCCAGCCGTGAAAAAAACCCACCGGACCAACGCTGGGGCAGGAATGGGGAAATCCATACCGTCAGAACAAGTGTGCGGAGAACAGCCGCAGAAGACGAGCCGAGAGGGAGGGTGCGGAGTGCCGCCGGCCCAAGCCTGGCACCGTGCCCACTGCTCCCGGGAAACCCAGCACTGGAAATCCCAGGATGCCAAGGGGCGTGCGTGCACACATGCTGGGCGGGGGGAGAGGCTTTGATGAGAGGGGATATGCCAGCGGTGTCTTTGTTCGGCCGCTTCAGATATGGCAAGCATGCGAAGCAGGAATTTGGAATCTGCCCCGGCTGCCAAGTTATGTCTTGCCCTTCTGCACAAGGCTTCGCGTGCCTTCGCTTTTATCTCGCACCCTCTTTTCTGTGGCTTGAAGGGAGAGCCCATGAGGCTGGAGTGTGGAATGCTGCCCCCTGGCGTCCGTAGCGGGCAGGTTTTCCCTCCGGGAGGGCAAAAAGCCTCTGGCTATGGGGCAACACACTGGTGCAATGCAATGCAATCAATCAATCAGTCAATGCGTTTATTTATGTCACTCGTCCAGCAGCTCAGTCCAGCTAACTGTGGTTTAGAATCCAGGCCGACGCTGGGGAAACCGAGGTTTGTACCTGCCGTTTGGCCTTTATTTTGCATGGCTAAGGATTCCTGTGAAGGCTGCGCCTGCTGTATAGTTCAAGTTCCGGCGGGGTCTGAGCGCCTTTGTCCTGCGGAGGTTCCCATGTTCCGCCTCTGGCATAACAAACCCTCAGTCTGATGCATCCCGACTAAACAAGCAGGTGCAGTTAAAAAACATGGGGTAAACAAGCTGGTGAAAGTAGAAACTATTTTCCAAATAAGTCCCAGACAGTATCATTTTATCCATATACTTGCAGGCTTCCAGGCAAACAACGAACCGAGAGTATGTTGTGCTATAATTTCTGTGTGACAAACAAGAACCGACACTAAAACTGCTTCAGCCAAACTGATCTTCTTCAGTTGTCTGGTTATTGTAATATTCTGAGTGCAATCCAGGCTGGATCCCCAAAACCGTCCAAACTCGGAGGATCACGGGCATCTTTTATAGTAGAGAGGGAGCACCAAGGGGCAGACTGCCCCTGCGTTTCCCACATGAAAACCCCCCGGTTTGTCCATCTAGGCGTCCTGCCGTGATGCACAAGCCACACCGCAGGACTCTCCTTGCAACAACCAAACACCGCAACAATAAAATTCGGATAATGTATGTGTATATATATGGATTTAAACGTATCAGCAGCCGAGTGAACCAGTTCACTATTTGAAAGCTGGGGCAAATAAAACCATTTTAACTTGGTGCCTAAAATCTTTGGTGGTTCCCTGGCTTCTGTGCAGCTTTTTCTTCCTCCTAAAAGTTTGAGGTGCCTTTCCTAAGGCTTAGTTAGTAGCAATTAGAACTTTAAGCAAGAATATGCTGCTTTTTCCGGCCCCGCTTATTTTGCATTTGGACCCACCTGCTGCTGGAATGCAGACCCCGAGGGCTTCGCTAAAAGGGAATTCAAAGGCCAGTGCCACTTACACAGGGCCACTGACCACTCAGAAGACAGGGCTGGAAAGACTAAAAGGGGCAACCGTTTGTGTGCCTCTGTTTGCTCACTTGCTTTTCTGCTGCATTGCTGAGCCTCCTGCTTCTCGGTGGGGAAAGATCACTGCTGGGAGGCAGGGAAAGCAGCTGCTCCCTGGGAAAGGATCTTTCCTGCTGGAATTCTACCTGCAAAGGGGAGTCTCACGGCATCCCACAGTGCCCCCTGCTGGGTGAAAGACAGACTGCTTTTCTATCTCCGCTCCTTTATTAGGAGCTAATGTATTAGCTGATTTATCCAGCCAATTTATTAGGGACAGCCTAATAGGTGCAAAATGGTGAGCAACCTTTGGAGAGCTTCAGTTTTTCATCGGGCAGGATATGAGAAGAAGCAGTCCTTGTGGGGACGGAGCGAAGGGAAGGGCTGACCATGCTGACGTCGTGAAACAGGCCCGGCCTGGGGAGGGAAAGACTTCAGTGAAGTAGATGGCTTAACTCTACCATGTGACCTGAAGCTCAGAGGTTTCTACTGGGACCAACCAACACGAAATGGTGATTCCTCCCTTTTCCGAACCGATAAAACCCAGTGGCTGAGCAGGGTGCCCAGCCTCTACACTTTTACGCTTACCTCAGATGGTCATTTTGAGCCGCTTCAGCCTTTTAACCCTGTTTGCACGGAAAAGAGGCCGAGGTGCTGGATTCCCTTCAGGGCAGCATCCAGCGGAAGAGTGCTTTGGCACTTGCTGGGGGTCCCACCAACAAGACCCCCCCCAGATTTGCTCCTCTGCTTCCCTGCTGCAGCCTGCTCCAGCCCAAGGCTGCAGTGGCCGCGAGAAGGGGGGGGGCCTGGTGCCACGGCCTGCCAGGCAAGCAAGGGGTGGCCAGGATGGAGAAGAGGGTGAGGAGCCAGTGCACCAGGGGCTGTGCTGGCCAGGAGTGGGCCTGCTGGGGCAGTCTTGCTCTGGAGCCCTTAAAAACCTGAAGGGGGCGCTACCAGACCTCTGGCGTTAACATCTGGTGGCTCGCTGACCTGTACTGCGTTTTCTTGGCGTTGCTGCAGTTCTTGAATATGCGGATCTACTGTGGCTTTTCATATTTTTC